CGGTAAATTATTGAGTATTCCCACTGAACGTTGTGGAACCGGGAATGGAATTAAGTTTTGGTCGGTGCATATTTTCCCTTCTAAAGTTTGGGGGTATTGGCTTGTTTACATGTAAAAGGACGTTATATATCTATTATATGTAATAGGAAAGCACCAGATTTTGGCAGCGTAGCTTAACTGTTGGCTGCGGTGAACGATTTCCTTCAAAAATGCATGTTTTTTTGCTGAATCTCAAAGAAAGGAAAATTCGTCAATTGCGGCGGCCGCCACCTCTATTTAGGTAAAAGCTAATGATCAATTTGACCGAAATAAGAATGAAAAGTTTCTTTAAGCCAAATGAAAGTAAAAAACAAAGAAAAATTTTGCAACACTGAAAACTCTAAAATAATGAAATTGGCTTGAAAATTTCGACATTTCCATTTTCCGTGTCTACAGAAGACTGAAAAATAAACGTCTGAAATCTATGACAAAAGCTTTGATTTTATAGAAAGGTTGAAAGAGCTAATAAGTTGTAGTGGGTTAAGATCTTGAAAAACGAGAACACTGATGAAAGCCAAAAGTGCCCAGAATTATTATCAAAACTTGTACCTAACTTGTTACTATAAAATTGAAGTGGATCAAAATTTCTTGGGGTCCGAGTAGAGGAAAACGCATGGCGCTCGACTCTCAGCCGAAAGGCGGCGTTTCGAAACCCGTCCGGAAATTGTACTGAAAGGAGGCAACAGTAGCTGGTATGGTGATATCCCCCCATAGATCGATTTTGTACTTTTTTCTCACTTTGAATTAACTTCTCGAATTACTGCTATTCAGTTAACAATTGGGTAAAATTTCAATTACTAAAAGAATGTATTGTTCAAAATGAAATTGTAAAGTGTATAAAACAGCTATATTAAATGGTTAGTTAATGGGTAAGCATGTGAGTTAGGAAACGTTTCAAAACATGATCAGTTATATAAACAAAATCAGAAGCATCACCATTAAAGTTTTTATCAAAAATCAAATGTGCAATATAAATACAAAAAGAACCGCACATGGTAGAGTTTGAGTCTTGCATGGGAAAGTTTGTCATCAATTCAGTCACTTGATGAAAATTCTCGTTCAATCGTTTATACAGATTGGTGTACTGCCAGAGAGGAAGACCGAGAGGATCAGCGAAGTATAAAACATTTCTTCTGTTGCATATCACAATCCAATGTGTCCCCGGAGAATCTGATTTTGAAATGTTCACAATCATAAAGATGTTGTTTGGGATGTGAGGTGGAAAATTGTCGGCTGCAAATACTCCAAAAAACTTATATTTCAGATGTTTACAATTCTGAATGAGGTCCTGCAACTGGATTTCATCCATTTTCAGACTGTCGAAATGGGAAGGACGTTCTTTGTAACTTTGCGGTCGGAGGTAATAAATACATTGGATGAGCGTATACCCCAAACAAAAATTTCCAGGTTTGCTGTCAAAGCGTTTGAGAATTGAAGATCGAGTGAAACTGAGCAGTTAGTAAGTTCTGGATGCAAGAAGTCATGAGCTGCCTGCTGTGTGCTAGTGAGATCAAAACACATAATAAAGTGCTGTTGGTAGTTATCCAGAGTGATTCCCAGCCCGCAGTGCAACAAACCCAGCGCTGATAGTGTGTTGAAGAAGAGACGCTTATGATCTTGTGTACTGATTGGTGTACTTGCTATTGGTAAACCATTTCGTCTCAAAGTAACTTGCTCCAGTCCAAATTTTTGATAATGAAAAGGATTCGTTCGGTTTGTTCCTAGAAATGCATTATTTGTGTTCAATGCTATGATAATTTGTCTCACCGGTTCACGAGCAAAAATATCTTCCTGTTGCCAGCTGCGCTGACCAGCTGTTGCAAGAAATGTTTTTGTAATTTCTTCTTGATATGGGTAGTTCGCAGGAGTTTTGAGCAAAGTTGATTCAATGGCAGAGAGCACATGGTCGGTCACAGTCATTTTTCTAACATACAGGTTCGCTTCGAGTATTTGCAGCTTGTAATGCTTGGCAGCATCTTCCGATATAATGAGAAAGTCTTCATGAGAACGTCTGTAGGAAAGTCTGAGGGTAACACCGCTCAACAAATGCTTGTCACAAGTGAAAAAATCAACTCCAGCGGGTCCATAGAACCAAATTTCATTCGATTCACGGACCAGTTCTCGTTGAGGTGTGAAATCAGCTGCATCTATTGCAGCGGGATTGTTTTCAAAACGATATCCCTGACACTTAAGCCACGAGTCCTTGGCTCCTTTGCTGTTAGAAAATTCTGTTCCAATAAAGCTTTTATGCGCAAAATTACTATTGGCATTTGAGATTTTGAGTCCATTAGCAGAGAGGGTACAGTCAGAGAAAAGGGAATACAGGGAGTTGTTTACGAGGAACGGTGAATCAGACACAGTAGGATCAGTGTTGTCGTATCGCAGATCAGCTCCACTTGATTGCGTTACTTTGCATCGTATTTCCAAATAAATTTTTTGCAGGTCAACAAAATTATTACGGTCACCGGTGATTTCAAATTCAAGCATTGGTCCATTAGGTGAATAGACAGGTCCAATTTTTTGATCAAAAGCGTTTTCAAAAGTAATCAAAAGAGGTTGTTTTTCAAACAAATCCAGAGAGCTATGGGTAGCTTCATTGGGTAACAAATTAGCGATCATTTTTTATGTTTGAGAAAAAATCTGCTCGACTTCTCACTGGTCTGGTTTTTCTTCGAATGATTGTTTTTCTTTTTCGAGCCCCTACTGACCTTCTTCTTCGTAATCCATTCATTGGTGTCTTTCGACGACGTCGTCTACCACCACCGAGTTGTTTTCTTGCAGTTTTTGTGACAGTGTTTTTCAATGCTTGTTTAGAAGACTTCTTTTTCATAGCGACATCAATTAGTTCTGGCGCTGCACTCATCAAAAGTTCTCTGCCCAGTTTTTTCGCAGCCGGTAGAATAACCCGTCGTGCAAACGGTATAGCAACACGACCAATACCAGCAGCCAAAGCGCCAAATCCACTGCCGCGTTGTCGGTAGTGTCCAGAGAAATGAGGAAGTGAAGCTTGCTTTGCATAATATTGTTCCATTGGTTTTCAATCAAAGCGCTTGAATTTTAGAGTCAACACAACTTTACCAGTTCCTGCAAAGGGCACTAGTCTTCCAGTTTCTGTGCGCAACTGTACCGATATTGATTGTACAGATGAAGTGAATAATTTTTTATAGTCTAAATTAGTGAAGTTTTTTCGATGATTAGGTTCAATGCTGCAGGCACTACCGTTTTTGATGCGTCTATTTGAATCAATGACGCGTAACAATGGGGCCTTTGCATCACCAACAGTTTGGTATTGAATAATGTCAATATAGACAAAAATTAGACTTGTCCCACTTGATAAGTCATATGGGAAATGAGATTCGTACAGTTCGTTTCCCTCATAAGATGCATCGAAGGAGGGTATCATTTTGTATCCAATGTGATATTCACCGTTCTCATCAAGCTTTGCATTGTAGCCTAACAGACTGGGTATTTGGGGACTTGGGAATGAGATTCCTTCATTTGCGTTCATCCAAATGCTCATGCTATTCGTGATTTCTTGAGGACTCGCATCAAAATGAATTTTGTCTTTGAGTTTTGTTTTTATCTCATTAATCAATTGTTCTATAAAAGTGTACTCTCCTGATTTGATAAAAACTTTTTCGCCATAGTAGGGTCTGGAAATTGTATTCGGATTGCCAGCGTTGGATTTACTGGCTACTACTTCGGATGCTCTGAAGTACGTAAATTCCTCATCAGTAACATTGTTTAATTTTGTGGGGAAAATTATTTCTGAGAGAGCAACTCTCCAATCTCCGTCTAAAGCTATTTCTTCTTTACAAAAATTTCTAAAACTGGCCAAAGTGTTGTCTGGGAAATAATCCATTGATGCTGTTGAAATCAAATGTACAGTAAACTCATCACTGCCCATTTTCGTTATAATCAGCTTTGTTTCCAATTAAACTAAGTTCTTTTTCATAAAATTTTCCGCTGATTTCTTCCTTTTCCGCATCAATGAGACTGTATGTTGGAGGGTTTACAGTAGGAATGGCAACTATTTCAAAAACTTCGTCTGTAAAAATCTGCTTGTAACCTTTTCTAAAAGGCAAGTCAGTCTTCGCTATTCGCACATAATCACCAACATAAAACTTTGGTTTCTGTACCAACTTCGATGAACTGTTTGCAATTAATGAAACTAAAGCAGGTACATGTTTTCTTGTGACCTTGTTTGGAGCCAATTTTGTAACTCTATTAACGCGTGAGTTAATCGTTTGAACAAAACTTTGTAATTTTTCAATATAACTGTAAGTCCATTCAAACTCCAAATATTTGTAGATAATATTTTTCAGCGATCGAATGTTTCTTTCGGCAAACGCTGATTTTTTTTCACTGTGAGTATTGTATTTGATGATTTCTCGTTTAGTACATAACTTTTCGAACTCTCCTTTAAACTCGGTGCCTTTGTCAACCCAAACTTTTTTTGGTTGTTTTGTTTTGATCATTTTTTTGAAAGCTTCGGTTGTTTCTTTAGCATATTTGGTCTTCAGGGGTTCCACTCGTAAGTAGCGAGAGAGACAATCGACAGCAACTAATAAATATCGTACCCCTCGGTTATATTTAGCCAATTTATCAACATAAGCCAAGTCAAGAGACCAAATTTCGTTGATATCGTTAACAATCACTTTTAGCCGAGGATATGTTTTACGAAACAATCCATACTTTGTATGTGATGATTGAGATCTCAGAAATTTTCTAACTTTTTCTGGTGAGAGTTGACTAGCATTTGTTAAATTTTTAACGCTACCAAATGCAGCTGGACCTTTCGTGTAGAGTAATTTGAGTTTCTTTTCTTCACTGATAGTAGGATTTCCATTCTTTTGTTGACGTTGTCGCAAACGATTCTTTACTGCTTTCATAGTTTTTATCATCGTCGTCATCGTCGTCGTTGGGGAAAAATTCTTTTTTCTTGGTTTTTCTTTTGTCAGATTGCTTGGTTCTGGGTTTGAGAGTTGTCGATCGAGTCTTCGAAGAGGAGGGTTTTGATATCTTCGAGTCCTCAGTTGTCGGGTTGTCGGAGACGAAGGAGGAAGAAGTTGAGGGCTTAGCTGCTTCGCTCTTAAGCGAGCGGAGAATCTGTTTGGCATAAGTGTTAGACACTAAGCTAGGATCAAGATTCAGTTCTTTCAAAATTTGAGGATAAAAAACACCTTCAAGTTTTTTTGTGTTTTGCTGTGTATCGTACAAAAAGGATTCAATTTTAACGAGTGTTGGTTTTCCTTGAATTAGAACATATCCGTCAACGTCTAATGTCAAGGATTCAACTTTGAACAACTGCTTCAGCACTATGTTTGCCCTTTCCAATTTATTAGCTTCCAATAGCTCTTGAATGGATTCCATAATCTTTCGAAACACTTCAGCGGTTTTTCCATAACTTTTTTCATCCTTTTTTTCTAATCTCTTTGAACTTGTCTGCTGCTGAGAATTGTATGATTCAATATTTTCTTCTGCTTCATCATCACCATCACCACTGAAATTAGTAAGCGCAGATAAATTTCTTTTTCGAAGATTTGGTACTACATTACTAGGGGTTAAGGGAATAGGAGATGTTGGGTTTAATGGTGGTGGAGAGTCACGGCTGATATTTCGTTCTCGAAATCGTTGTATGTAATTGAGTTGAGATGATTTGTCGTTAATTAATGGATTATGAAGGATTTGAGATTGTGGTGCAGTTTTTTCATCTGGAGCATATGTTTTTCGAGGAATGAGGATGAATTCTTCAGCATACATGCTTAAGGTTCTAGTTTTTCAGGTAAATGTAACACGATTCTCCGATTGATTTAACCAGTGAAATATTGTTTGCCAGAACTTTTCGTTTTTCTCGGATACTAAACTTAGGGTCAACAATTTTTCCAAATGGTATTTTCTTACTCTCGATGAAACTCTTGTTAGCTGGAACATGTCCCAGAAAAACATTTACAAAACAATCGCAAAGAAATCTAATAAAATTTGAATCAGCTCCTGTCAAAATTGATCTACAATGGCGACTATTGAGCATTTGCTTCAATATACATAATTCTTTCTCTTTCATTTTCAAGAGATGTGATAACTGCTTTTGAGGATGGTAAATAGAAAATGGTTGGTGATGGTGGAACTATGTTTGACAAATAACGAAGACATTCTGAAGTTTTGGGATCCAAGTCTATCAACAGATGACCGAAATCTTCTTTCGTTGCCAACTGATACGCATGACGGAGGAATTTTGCATTATTCAACTGTCTGCCTAAATAATCAATTTGTTGAATGTCTCGAGGTGATTTGAACAAAATTAAATGAGTTGTATTCAAATCTATTGTACGTGATTGCTTACTTTGCTGAAATAAATTGTGCTTGACATAAATAACATGAACATTTTTATGTCGGCCTGCTGTAGCTAATTTAACAAAATCTTTTTCATTAAAAATTTCTTCACAGGTATCATCAAAGACAATCATACAATCCCGTAAGTTATTAACAATTTCAAAGCTGGATAATTTTATAAATTCAATATCAAATTTGTTGTGAGAAACAAAGGAACGGTATTTGGGTTGATCGTGAAGATAAAAATAAAATATCTTGTTATACGATGGATAGAATGTACCTTTGAGAAGCATTTGAAAAATTAAATCAGTTTTGCCAGATCCTGAGGGACCTGAAACGGACATAAACAGACGATCTTTTGTTGAAATGATCTTATTCATTATTATAATTTGGGATTGGGTAACATGTAACCAACTGTACTGGATAGTATTGAAAGCCAAATGGCAGTCTCATCACAACTAAGGTTGTAAAAAGACAATTTTGAAATAGATAAAGAGAGCAAAATGAAAATGAAACAGACTTGCGTGAAAAAGACAACTTCTGCAGACGGAAGAGAAACAGAATTACAAAATTTCCAAGATCTGTTTTCGTGAGATAAAGACTTTTCGGCAACACCAATGTCAACAAAGTCGCAATCATTGTTCTCGACAGTGGTGGTTTCTTCAATTTCCATGTTTACTGGAAGACTTTTTTTGCTTATTTGTATCAAGGTTGATAGTTACAACTGCATACCAATCGCCTTTTTTTCTCTCTGATCTATTGCCGTTTGGTTTGTATTTTATTATATATCTTGCTATGTTTTTGTCTGTCAGAAGTATCCGAACAATTTTTTCTACGTTTCCGGTACTGATTTCGTCTAATAACTCTTTTGGTAAATTCTCACCTGTTAAACTCACATTTTGTGTGTTTTCTTTTGGCAAAAATATTTTTTTGAAATTTTGAATTTTCAAACACGACATGTTAGCAACTAGTAATCTCACAAGATCAAAAGAAAATGAAAACAATCAATAATTATATTTATTATGATTCACAAAACTTGGCATATATATGTGATTCGTCATTTCGGTTCAACAGGCAAATCAACTCCTCGTTCAATGAAGAAAAACTCATACTTTGTGAATTTGTCATGTTTACAATTAGATTTGAACTTTACAACAAAATGAGCAGCAACTCTGATAGTGGCTTGAACTAAATGTATTTCCTCAACGTTATCAGTTTTGACTAATTCTTTCAGTTCAGCTGGAAGCTGATGGTCATGCAAATGGATTTGTCTTCTCTCTCCCAGCTGAGGTTGCAGCCCTTCCAGGTTGAGATTGAACAACGGAATTGACTGGCGAAATTCCTGGAGTCTGGACATTGTACAGGTGAAAGTAGTCAAGAACTGTAAAAAATTTCCGTAAATTATCAATTTCGATATCGTTCAGTGTAATTTGTTCGAATTTTTGTAGGAGAGGTTTTCCTCGACAATCTAATATGCCTGTCCGAGTAAGAGTAACTTTAATTCTTGGTGTTAAACTGTTTTCAGGACTCTGATTAGTCATTGAAGCGTAAACCACCAAATTTGGAGATAAGGTTGTTTGCATCATTGGACAGTTCATTTTGTAACCAATCGAAAAAAACTTTGGATTTTCTACGGGTACAATGCTTTAATAATTGATGCGAGGGAAGTAAATGAGAATGTCGTTTGCAAATATGTTTTTCTTGACCCAATAACTGTTCAATCTTTGGGCAGCCAATATCTTCCAAATTGGTCACGGGTAATTTCAAGTATTCAGCTAATAAAACAGATTTTTGTGTACCTTTAGCAAAAAAATGGGAATTTGGGTTCCTCAAACGAATGCTGTCAAAAATTTGATCCAAGTATGGGTAAGGGTATTCACCTTCGTCCCAACGAAGCCCGTGTAGAAATTTAGATACCCAATTGTACGCTTTTTTCTCTTCTTTTGGTAAATTGTTGAATTGAACTGGTGGCAGAAAATGAATTGTATCAATTGTATTAGCAGAGCAAACGGAAAATTCCTTTATGATCAAAGGTTTCTTGCCACATTTAAATCCTTCAATATCTAAAATAATGAGATGGTTGAAAAACACTTTTTTAGTTTTCTTTCTTTGGGTAAACATGACTTTCACTCAACATTCCAACAAACGAAATAACTTTGGTCTGAATGTTTTAAGAAATAAGCAAAACGCAATACCTGTCACGTGACCCAGGTAACAGTTTTTTATTGGACAAGGCAAAACATATGTGTACCCAGGACCGGTATGATTTTTTTCTTGCAAATATCCTGCTGCGTCATGCAAAATAGCATGTATTCTAAGAAATTTGAAATGTTTCAAGTGTTTGTCGAGCGACGAATTGTCTATTCCAATTAAACCACCATATGGTCTGTTTTTCAAAACAAAATCCAAATTAATATCAGCATCTAAATACAAACAAGTGGCTAAAAAATACTGAAATCTGACTGATTTGTCTGGATATTGTGATTTTAAGTCTATAAAAATTTCATGAATGAGTTTTAAATCGAAAGTTGAAATCATGTTTACTGAACTCAATATAATGAAAAAGGAATAATGAAAAGTATCAATTAAAACTTAACTTTCTCTTCAACAATAAATTTCACAAACAAAACATCAGTATCTACATCAAGTTTTCCATATCCACTTGTCAAAATATCCATTATTTTACAAAATGCGGCAGAATGGGGTCCATTAATTAAACTTTCAAATCTTTTCAAAGTTTCTGTATTCATCTCATCTGTTTGAACATGTCTGCTTTCTGTATGTTTCTTTGAAACTGAATTCGAAACTCTTACGGATTTGTTTGACGTCGACGATGCAGCATGCGTAACTGTATTATCAATTCGTTTCTGTCCCCCAACGGCCGGAGATTTCTTGCAAACGTTTTGATTTGGTGAAGTTTGTTTGTTAGATGATGTTGTAGAAAGCAATAAATTGGGTAAACGTTTTTTGATTGCAGTGAAATCTAACAAATCGAGATTGGCTGCAACAGGTTGTGCTGAATAAGTGAGAGCTAGTTTAAGCTTGTCAAATAACTCACCGTGTCCTTTGACATCTTTAGCAGGAGAAACTAAGTATTTGAAGCAAGTGAAAATACAAGGAACACTGAAACATTTTTGGGAAGGAAAAAATTGGTTTAATTGTTCCTCTGAATCTACTTGAATCAATATATGGTAATGAGTTTTTTTTTCATTCTCGACTGAAAAAGGGCAATATTCAGATTTGAAGTGGCTTCCAAAAGCATAATTTTTAAAAGTAGATAAATTAGGAATTTTTTCAGTGATAACAAATTTGAAATTTGGTTGAAATTTTTTGAAATAATCAGGTAACACAACTTCGAACATAGCTTCTGCCATTTTGTAAAGGAAAATTAATTCGAGTCGTGCTTGAAATCGTTTGTGTTTGAGGAAAGTTGAGATTTCCTGGCTCGTTTACAGTTAGACTGTGGTTTGTCTTTGTTTTCAACAGTATCAGAAATTTCACTTGTTTGCGCTCGGATTGACTTTCCCGACTTTAGTAATTTTGAAAATTCTTCACTGCTTAAGGAAAGTCTTTGTACACATTCAAATTCAGCGCCTTCAGTTGCTTTTTTGAAAACTTTCAGGAATACATAAGTTCCAGTTTGGTCATATGTTTTCAATGTAGCACGCACTAATCTTTTACTGTTTTCCGAAATATCGAAATAGCAATCGCCAAAATCTTTATCTGCATTTGCTGTGGTGCTTGTTTTTGTTTTATTCATTGTAACGAGTGAGAATTCAAAGTAACTTGATTCAAAACTGAATAGAAAGAAATGAATGGTTTCGATTGATTGTATATGTCTACAAAAGAAAGCGTTGTATCTATTTTAATTTATCTACACATGTAGTTTATATCGCAAAGATATTGGATTGCAATTTAGTTCAAATGGATAAGTATTTTGTGCATGTACAACTGATAAGAATTTTAATGGGTGTTAAAGGTCACAATGTTTAAACGTTGTTTTTGATACAAGCTATTTGTTTGAATGCAATTTAGATAAACATAGAATACCACGCAAGGTAAAATAAATATTTTACACACCCTCCCGTATTAAACTGATCAAAAACTACATAGGAGGTCTTGAAATTTCTAATTTTAGAAGAACCAATCCCTATTTTAATCTCTTGAGGCGTTTTCACAATTCATTTCAGTTTCATTTCTCTCCGCGTTACGTTTGTCCTTTTCTTCCAACTTTTCTTCAAAAATGCCTTGTTATATTATTGCCGGATATTCCAATCACGAAAGAACCATTTTTTATGAAACCGTTCACGGTAATTTTGTAGCAATAATTAACGAAGAAAAAAGTTTCAATTCTGATGAGTGGACTTGTACTCATCACGTTATGATTCCCAAAAATTTTTTACATTTATTCAGTAAACTTTCCTTAAAAAACTCAAAGAAGGACGAAGAACTGAATATAAAGTATTTGAGTTACCTTACAAATTCCGGTAAATATACGGATCCTGACGAGCCTCTTGCTCTTCAGGTTGATATTTCAACTTTATCAAAACCAGTAAAAAATTTTTTGTATAAATACGATTGTGATGTTACTCCGATGTGTGAAAACCAGTTAGAATACTTTGAAGAAATTGAATTTTTTGATCGTTTATGGGGAATGGAACAGATTGAATCACCATTATTAGTTACCCCGAAAGCTGATCCTTCTCCTACAGTGTCACCATGGCTTGATGAACCAGATTCTTCAACTCCAACGCGCACCCCCGAAGCGACAGTGAGTAATCATATGGAAAATTTGACTCCTTCTCTATGCCTTGCACCAAAGAAAAAACGGAAGCTAACAACACTAGAGAAAGCGCAGGAGTATTTGGACCTTATATAACTTTGAAACTGAGGTTGAGTTTTATTGATTTTTGTTTGTTTTTATTGTGTATAATAAATTAACTTTAAAATTGAGTTTGAGTTTATATCTTGTGTTTGTTCATTATTTATCACACGATTGTGTTCTGATTAAAAATTTAGTATAAAAGCCTTTAAAATTTGAAGTTAAAAAAATCAGTTTTTTTTCAATTAATTGACTATTTTTTTTCCAATTAAAAACAAAAAAGTCCGTAAAATTTTCATTTTTTCCACAAATAGGAGTTAACATATTAACATTGATGTTCTTATTTACATGATTGATCTTGAGAAAAATTGAAAAGCATCCATATTTATGCTAATTTTTTTGAAAACAAGATAAAAAAATATCAATTTCGTTTTTTGAAAAAAAAAAAAAGATAATTAACGTCAAAAAACTGTAAAAAAATAATTTTGGTTGTAAACCTTTATTGTCATTTGTTTATTCATTTAATTATCATACAAATTGAGTATAATAAGAAATAGTATAAAAGATGTTGAAAACCAACTTTTTGTTAAAAATAAATATTTTTTTAATGTTTTCTAGTTAAAAATTTGATTTTTTAATTACAAAAAGGAAAAAAAAATGCAATAATTTTTTATTTTTCTTCAAATTGGATTTACCATATGATCATTGATACTGTTGTCTCCAAAAATGATCTTTATAAAAAAATACAAGCATTCATCATCATGTTAAATATTTGAGAAAAATAATAAAAATCAAATTTTTTAATTGATGACTCATCGTTTTTTCATTTTTCCGAAAAAATGCGATTTTCAACCAGAAGACGCAATTTTTTATTATGAGCAAGTAGTGTTGTTATGAAAGTGCAATGAGGGGCACAACTAATGAGATTGTGGGAGTAGATGTTTTTTCAATAGTCTTCGAGAAAAACGCTAATCCCCTTAATCCCCCCCTAAAACAACAAACTCATTTTTCTTTACAGAAAAGTATTTTTTCTGACTTTTTTTTCATATCGAAAGACAATTGAGACAAATTCATGATGACATGGACCGTGCAACCGCTCCGTGATTGACATCATTGGTAACAATGCGCCTGGAAAGTTAAAAAACTGACAGTTTTTCAGTTTCTGTTTTACTTATTCATCATTTCAACTGTTTTTGATTCAAATTTTGACATTTTTATAGAGTATTCTGTCCCCATGACAATTGGGATATTTAGGATTTATCATGTGTTGTGACATGCTCAACTTTTATTCGCAATTTCGAAAATTTTCTCAACTTATAATTTGAATTGATAAAATAAAAAACTAAAACTTTTATCTCTTGGCTCTAAAATCATTTTGGATAAAAATTTAGCTCAAACTTGATTTGCTTCGATTAACTTTTATCATTTGTAGTAATGATAACAATTCAAACAGCAATTAATCTGTTTCGCCCAATCGAATTTGAGTTTGACAGTTATGGCGGGAAATTCAAATGTAATTCAAATTTCGGCGGGAAAAGAGTT